AATACACACTGATTACATACACACTCTCTCTATCTCTCTGAGTAAATGCTTGAGCAATAATTATTGTATTCAACACTCTTAGATCACTTCTGATAATTAAGAAATATGTAATCTGAATATGCAAGAAACATAACTTCGTTTAAAACTTTTATCGTGAATCAAAATTTACTGCTCTGAGTATTTCATAATTGGAAGCATTCACATCATCGAGTCACTGTAATTTATTTACTACACTGCTTTAATTCATATTTTTTTTTCTTAAATGAATCAGTCACTTGTAAACATCTCAGCTGATATTCACAAGGCATACTAGCAAGTGTTAGTATGGATTTATCTCTAGTGTTACTAATTTCAAATTGCATTCCAGTATGAGGAAAATAATCAGGTTGAAGTGTCTACTGTTTTTCTCTTCTTTTTTTTTAAAATTGATGGTATAAGCTTTTAAGGGCAGAAAGAGAAAAACGAACTAAATGCTTAAATAAGTGTGAAGTAAGACAAAGAAAATTAAGTAACTAGTAATGGTAATCAGTTGTAACGTGAGTTAAGGGATTAAGTTACACAGTATGTGTAATTTAGGGATTCAAAAACCAATTAACTAAGCTAACGTGTGTATAAAATAGCCTATATATATATATATATATATATATATATATATATATATATATATCACTTGCAGTTGTCTAAAATGAAAGCCAATTAAACAAAAGTAAAACAAATGTAGTCTACAGAAATCATTATTGAGGAAGCCTAATTCTTTATTATCTATTCCTTTTCCCGTTTCACTTTTTCTTCTATCTTCAACTAAGTAAATAGGAAACCGGATAAAAATATTCTGGATTTTGTTTCTTATAACTATAAAAATAACTTCTAAAGGAAGACATTAATTTCATTCTAAGAAGCATATCAGAAGCGAGTAAGAAATAATTTAAGTAGTTACTAGTATAACCATTGAGTGATTTAGATAATTTTCTATCTACAATCAACTACATTTTATTTACTGACGTGACCGTCATATCAATCGCTTTATGGGTTAGAAAATGATATTCAGGGGGGTTCCATAGGATAACTTGAAACAGTTGAAATCAACAGGAATGTATGCTTCATATATATGTGAAGAAAACAGTGTAAGCTGAATTTACCTGAGGTTAATAATCCGGCTTCTAAGTTTCACTAACTTTCATAAAAGTAAACCTCGGACTTATCCCTAGGTGTCTTTCTTTAGAAAAGTCTTCAAATTAGAGTAATTTATAAAGATTTTCATCCTGTATTATTGTTACTGATATCCAGTGACCAGTATATACCAGTTAAGAATGGTATATCTTATTTCAGTAACTCGATTTTCAACTTTTTAGTGGCTTACCAAAGGTTACACGTCTGAATTACATTGAGAACGTATAAATCTTACCAAAGACTCCATATTTTTTTTCAGCTGTGCTATATATATATGATCTGGCAGTTTGCAGATTTGGAGCTGACTCAGTGATTGTCTATAGTACGGAGTGAATATTTTCTCACTCTCTTCAAAAACATACACTATTAGTTTCATTGTTATTTTGTGATTTCATGCATTTTTTGTGTTCGCGCATTTCTAACTTATATGAAAGGGTCCCAGCATCACCAAATAGCTTTAACTTGTTAAGGGGAAGTGATCGACACATCTTTTAAATCTGAAGGCTATCGTGATAGGGTCAGTTGACTCATCAGTTTCAATTGTTTTAAACTAATTTATGGTTGATAAGATTTCAGTAAAATTCTAACAGTACGACTCTGAGGTACAAAAAGTTATAGACCATCATATTTTAATCAGCAATTTATCTATAACGCAGTGATAACTCGCATAGCTAGAAAAATAGCTAAATCCAAAACACTGTATCATCTTGAGATACAGCCAATGACGGTTTTCAACACTTGCGGAAGTGGTCTTCATTTCCAGTGTCAGAACATGCATAACTGAATGAATATTGCATCAGGACGGCGAACTACATGTAATTACAAGTAGTTTCTCTACTCACTCCCTTATGATTGAATGTCTGAATGATAATCAGTTAATTTTCAGCTTCATGATTTCGTGCTATGAAACTTTTTAAGAAAATAGCCTAAGATTTCACAAGAAAATGAAAATACGAAGTATCATTAGGGATTTAAATAACTCCTGTAGCAACTGTCAAATAAATTGCAGTCCAAGCGGAAAACATTAAAATAATCCTAAAATATTACTCTGTCCAGTGATCTGACGTAGATCGTCTGATGGTGTTTATCTATAACAGTATTTCTCTGCTTCATTCATGTATGTTAAATACTTCTGCACTATACACCTAATTTAAATAACACTGATGTTTAAATAAACACCAAACTAATTAACCAGTTCACTTTTGGGAATAATGAAGTTATAATTACTCTTAATTGCATGTTGTTTTAGTGGAAAGATATTTTTGTTTCAATATTCTGCATTTAGGATATATTTTGTCCTTCGAATTTAAGTGTGTGACCGCATTCGTCTGCTTCAAGCTTTACAAACATGTGGACTCCTGTTAGAATACACTCTGATGTCAATATTTTAGTAATTTTCACGAGAAGAATTATTTCATTAAGATTTGTAGTAATTAGCTTATGAAGTTTCATCACATTAGACGAAATTATTTTCTTAACGATATATCTGTTGCATGATCACATATGTGCACATACTTTTGCAGTTGTAGTTTCACACTATCCATTGTTAATGGCGTCCTCATTAAGACGAAAATAATCAGCATCATCTGCAGGGATTCAACAATAGTAAAAAAACGAAATTAGTTTCATTTGGAATTAATGCTTACAAAAAGTATGGAAATTCAGCTTTGTTTTAAACGTAGTATACAAGAAAAATAACCAGCTTTAATAAAAGAAACATGTTAGAGCCATATCAGTATATATAAAACATAGAAATTTCCTTATTACTGAGACTACGTTGAAATAAATTTAAATTGGTCTGAGAAACAAAATGAGCATAGGTGATGGGGCAGCTGAGATATCGAAAAACTAAACCTATGTAAGATATTTGTATAGTGGATATTCGTTACTCCCTGATAACCAATCAATGTACTTGTTCCGTTTCACTTCATTCTCAAAAGCCCAGCAATAGTAAATGAATTAAATGGGATGTGCATTTATTATTATGAAGGGGATAAGATTATAGATCCATAGACTAAGAGAAGATAACGTAAAGTAAGCATAGTGATGGACGGTTAAGCACACTTTATTTCTCAATACTATGTTTATCACAAAAAAGGGTACTAATAAAGCTGTCATTGTCAAGATAAAACTTACTACTTACTACACTTTCTGAAAATTCATACTGATTAGTGCATCGCGAATTTTAGAAAAAATATTGCAATCGTAAGTTTATCTGCACATACAAGTTAAATAAGTTCTGTTATAACTAAAAGGTTTACCAGAAAATTTCAGAAAAATCTTCAGATGAAATTCAGTGGGCTATGTTATTAACAGTAGCTCATTGTGCGCTGAATTGATATTTTAGCAAGAGATACACTGAGGAGAGTTTGAGATTTAAAAGCCTAGATTTGACCGGTGTATTACAATGGTCGTATGACATTCATATGAACTGTGATCAAATGTACAAATATAATATATATATATATCAGACTTCCTGTCAAAGGGATATTCTTTGAATAACTCGGAAAAGTTAGTAAATGAGCATGATATGCATGTCACGCTTGGTAGACGTAGTCATCCGTTGAAGTGAATATTCAGCTTTGTGTTTTCTCCCGTACGAAATTCAGTGACTCTTTGAAAAAGGTCGAGCTTAAGTGTTTCAGCTTTTTGGCCTTCACATAACCAATTTGAAGTGTTTGAAGAACACAAATAGACTGGTTCACTGCATCCTATACAATATATACTATACAATACTTATTGTTATTACCACTGTACTATGTTGTTTACGTATTCATTGTAATTTATGCTGAAGCAATTTGACAAATTAGGGAAACATGCAGACTAACTGATCTTAACATATATTCTGAAATTTCATTGTCTATGTTGATAAAGCCTTCATCATGTATTTTGTGTGCATCTGACAAATTATGCGCATATGCCACCTAGAAAGCCCAGGTAAAAAATGTGAAGGAATGGAATTTCATATAAACACAATATTATCGAACTAATATATAAACAATCTGTACAACTATCTGTCACTTAGCAACTAATCTCTTCCCTAAAATCTTTTTCTTTAAAGAAGAAAAATTCATAGTTGATCTTGATTTGGTCTGTGTTTACATAAAGCGGAAGCGAATACTAATCGTGTTATATGCATATGTAAACTGTTGTAGTTATGGTATTATCTACGAGTCTCTTACGTCTTTGTTTATATTTGTGTGTCTGTTCAACAATAGAACAAAAACTGTAGTGTGTTCACGTAAAATTAAGTGAAAAATAAACACCTCACTAAACAAATAAGATGTACTTGATTTATTCAGAGTTGCTGACTACAATAATCATCATGCATTAAAAGTTATCTCTCACCACCTGTAAGGTGTAAATATGTCAAGATTAGATAATATAATTCTTTCACACTAGCTTTATATACGTGAACAACTTGCCATTGTATATCGATACCACATCACACTAAAATGACAGTGAAACTTCCTTTCCATTTTACACATGACTACATGTATTTGTTCGTTTGTAAGCCTAGAAACAATACTTACGAAGATATATGTCAGGGAATAGTTAATTGTATTACTTAAGAATTGTTTAGTTTCTTCATTGTGACTGACTTCCAGTCTAAATGCTGACATTGAAGGGGATGGTGAATAAAATAAACAGTTTGCAAGTCCAGTTTTCTTTACTAGGAAGAAACTGAGTTTAAGGCGATATTTGATTTATTTTGTAATTATTTCAAAGAAGACTCCGTCTGAATATATATTTCTGATCTTTTCGTACATTCTGGTGTTTAGTTTAACCTCTAATCCACTTTTATTTTTACTTTCTATGTTTGTCGGTAGAACTTGCACTTTACCATCAAACTTTGCATTGCCCAACTCCAGGATGTACGGGTAGAGGACATGTGAATAATAATCGTTCATCTCACCGAAGGTAATTTTAATTGAACTAATTGAAAATTCATTTGGTTTATATTTTCATAGCATGCTAACTCAAAACTAATGTGTATCCGCTATATCTCTCTTCAAATTTATGTTAGGATTTCGTTAATTTTATGAAATCTTCATTTAAATGGTGCTTTAGAAACTAAAGAAATCGGTCACCGATAGGGAAACTGTTCATCAACGTATTCTTTGTATGTGAACATACATTTTTTTACAGGTACTTGAGTAAACGATTAGTAGGGCGACTGGTATAATAAGTGACAAGTGCATGTTAACGTTTGAAAACTATATCCGATGCTTACTGAATTCTAAAACCATATTGACCTGTTTACTGTTCCATTAGATCCTGAGAATATCTGAGTGATAAATGTATGTTCTTTTGCAAATCACGAAGCAAACATACATGCTCTTTATTCTTCCAAATATTTATATAATATTTGATTCAAAGTGGTATACAGTTGTTCATTTTAGCCACTTACGCAGATTTTTTATTGCACATATTCAAGATTGATCCAGTCACAACATTTCACCTGATTTCCAAGCGAGCTGAGTAAGGCCAAGTCCAAGAGATCATAAATTGTATTTCATGATTTTAGTGACTGTAAATACTTGTAAATGCTGCAGTAACACGTTGCTTTTTCCATCAAACTATTCTGAATTCGCAATACACTTGAAGGAATGCTTTTTATATAGATTTTTCCATTATGAGTATAGGCGCTGTGTACGATGTACACATCTGGTGTACCTGACTAGAAGCTCCGACAACTCAAATTAAACATTGAATAAAATGGATGGATTGTAAACTATATTCACACTGTCACATTATTTTTGTTATAAACTCAGGTGACTTAGCCGTCATGACATTGTTTTTAGAGTATTATCTTATACAAAATGTATCCTACAGTAATTTGTTTTAAAAATGAAGTATTCAACTGTATTACACCACCCACAAACTGTTCTCCAGTTCACCAGAAGTGGAAGTATTTTTCTTCTTTTGCCATTTATAAAAAATCTGACAATATTTTGTCAATGAAGCTGAATTATCCACTGAATAAGGGTTCATTTTTGTCTATGACATTGCAAGACTATTCGTTTAGTCACTGTAACGTTGAAGTAAAGAGTGTTTGTTGAGCCAACACAAAAGTGAGATATTAACTGAGTTAAGCATGTCATCTTGAGTTTGGACTGTCTGTCATAAAGCTTTCATTATTAAACGAAAAGTAGACTAGGTTTTATATGCACGTTTGTCATCTGTTAGTGTACAAATCTCCAGGACATACACTTGATTCACAAGTAATATAAGGGTTTAAAGATAATTTTCCAGGTTTTTAAATTCTATGATAATCAACCATTCTAGGCATACTTTTGATAGAAATTGGTTTGATGGACTAAATTGATGGACTGAGACAAAAACAAAAGTTGAAAGAAGGCATGGATTGAGCCAGTGACTTTGAAGCCGCTGGTTCGAATTGTGTTGTAAACCATGTTTTCGGTTCAATTTCAGTTGTCACCTTATTATAGAACAGATGCTTTTACCGTGAATTATATATGGCCATAAAGCTTACAGTTATCTTGAATTCGAGTGTTTAATATATATTTAATGATATGTAAGAATAAGTTCCCTAAGTTAACTGGAAACACCTGGTCTTCATTGTAAACGGGACGTGAACACGACAAAATATTAACTTCCTAGACTGGTGATTAGGTGTATTGAAAACTCTCTATACTTAGCTTGTTTATTGTTATTCATTATTTTTGTCAGTGAGTCAGCAGCATTAATAATGTTAAGTACGATATTATTTCATTCGACCATATCAGATCTTTTTACACAATAATTTCTATTACATCCAAAATACAACATGGAGCATGACAGTGGCACATAACACACACAACTATTCTCAGACTAATATTATTCGTGATTCCAGTTAGATTGTACATCTGGTAATATATTGCTTAATTTGAAGATATCTAGGTAACTAAATACCTAATTTATATACCCTGCCACAAATGAATTAAATAAGATTTAGTCACTATGACAATCCTAAAATTACAGATGAACTATAAATTAATGAATTGCTGAATCACTGGTCGGAAGTAGTTGTGTACAAGATACTCTTTAGAAAGTTTGACTTAAAGGTAGTATATATAAGGACGGAATTAAGCCATCAGAATAACTTTTAAAAGTTTTAATCCAGTTGCAATTTTTGTCTTGCCTTGCCTTATTTTGTATCCCTGTCTTTTTGCTTTTTGTAATTTAACACGTTAATATATATATATATATATATATATATATATATATATTTATATATATATATATATATATATATATATATATATATATATATATATATAATGTGTATAACAAAGTGGTATCAAGCCCAAGAGATAGATCTATTTCCCCAGAGTGTTCAACTCTTCATTTATATGTAAGCGGACACAGTGAGCACTTAGCCACATACAAGTATATCAGACTTTTTGTCAGTTCATGTTAGAGGAGAAAACAATTCGTGGGTGAGCAAAAAGAGGTATGAAAATCTTCCTTCTTTCATAATTTATGAACTGTCAACAAATGATTCTCATAAAACAGTGAATCACATATTTCTGTTGCGTCATTTATATAATTGGTGTATATATGCAGTTAAACTTGTTACTGTTTATATATAATATGTCAATAGGCAAAGATATTAGAGCAATATTATACAAAAAAAACGAGATAGATTTGATACACAAAGGAGATAACGTGCAGTGTTTTCTAATCCAAAGTCAAATTAATGAAAACTAGAGACACAAAACTCGTTCAATCTTATTCTTCATTTTGTTGACATAATCCCAAAGGAGTAGAGTTTGTTTAAACCAAACAACCTTATTAGTTGTTCAATGAATTAGTTTTATGTATACTCATATGAGGTTTCGCGGACAAGTTTTACAACCACAAACTAACATAAAGTATATCATATTGAAAAAGAGAATTTCTACTAAATTATATATATATATATTCAGTGACAATAACTTCTGGTGTTCATTTACAACCTTAGTAAAAGAAACAAATTTACTAATTGTTTGAGACGGAATTTCTAACGAATATCCTCATATTCTTTATGTAGGACAAGCATCGTTTATGCACATCACTTGAATACACTTTAAAAAGGCATAAACCAACGAACAGTTAATTTAGTTTAGTTTATTATGGTAGGATTTTTTAAAAGTGAAGACGAATAAGCTGTTTTTCTTCCCTTTTCGTTCTGGGCTGGCGGATGGAATTTCAACTGTCTTAAAGATAAATTTCCTTAGGAACTGACATTATCTGAGAAGTAAACATTATTTCGCAATTCTTTTATTCTAGCTCACGACCTTTCACATGTAAATGTGACTGATCCAACTAAGGGGGAACTCTATTGTGAATACACCTACTCATCTATCAAATTGAATTTATTTTTTATTTTATTTTTGATTACAGCTTGATTCCACCCTGTATTTTTGGTACAGGTATGGAATTTTCAGAATGGATATCGGTAGCCCAAATTTTGTAGGCCGACCATAGATATCAGGTGTGCGTCGGCAGGGGATCGAACCTCGGACCATGTGCATGGTCGGCGAGAGTCCTAACCACTGTGCCACCGATGCACATTCTATATTGCTGATAGCAGACAGAACTGAGATCTCATGAGTCAGAAGATTTCGGTCCAGTGGATAGATATTAAAGTTCATATCCGTGAATTGACAGTTGGGGGATTCGATCGCTCAAATTTTAATGAACTGCTACCGAAATGTCTCAAAACTAAGGAGGATGTTTATTGGTTTGCACTGATTCAATTACGTGTTAGCTGTTGATAAAATAAAAAAATTTCTTTCCCTTAGCAACTTTGATTCTAAAACAACTTTAAAAAGTATTTGGGGAGATCAAAACTTAATATCAGTTGTTTGTTTGATTTGGCTAATATATACTCATGTAAATGGTAATAAAAGCCTATTGAGTGTTGTTTTCCAGACTGAGAGGTAGTACCTAGTTATATGTGAACTATAGTCTTTCACTATACTTTTCAATTGTTATTGCTTTAATTATCTAATCACCCACTCTAAATTTCTTTGTGTTCGAAATAGCAAACTCACTTCTACTTGCAAACAGGGTTCCAGAGATTAACGTAAACTTTCTATAACTTCGTGTGACCATTTTTCACGCTGCACTTATTACATATAGAATTTAGTTTCTAGAGCTATGCTGACCAAGTTCTGAAGGACCATTTACTAAAAAGGTCATCTAAAGTACACTTGGAGAATTGTTAAAGTAAATATGATACATTTAGCTTATGTTCACCATCCTAAGAATAGTACTGAAAAGCAGGGACGATAAATAGTGTAGTCATTGCATTCTTCATTCACTATGCTCCTTTCTTATAATTTTATCATAAAGTCGATATTTGTACCGTGTAATTGGTGAGCGAATACATCTAATAAATTTAGGTACACAAAGAAGGAATCTATTTGACATTTACTGGTCTATTCATCCAGCTGATGAAGGTATCACAAAACTAACTGGTTTCTGGAGATCAGAATTCTTCATAAAACAGCATTGATGACAACGCAAAAACTAATGCTGATATCCCTCTCATAAACTCCAGCTAATTTTCAGGAAGAAGATCCAAAAGATCGTCCGCAACATAAGCTGAAGATTTTCTATTATTAATTTTTTCCTTTGCATTTCGAGCGGAACAGGGTTTCAAGCTTGATCTTTCAAGTTTCAGTAGCAGTTGTTTTAATTTTACGGGATAGGATTGCTAGCCCAGCCTTTCCTCTTTAACGGGTTTGCTACCGGTTAAGTGCGTTTAGAGGCCCTTTGGTCGGGGATAGAACCCTAGACCACAAGCGTGGCTGGTAAGCACTCTACCGCCGGACCACTGACGCAGAAAAGCTTGATATACTGATTATAAAATTAAGTACATAACTGTTTGTCTTCTATTAGGGTTATTCACTACTGGCCATAAATATTTTTTTATATTTTAGTCTTCATTCGTTTCTGCAATCTTATTTCCCTGGATTCGTCATCAACTTTATTACATGAAATATTGTGTATTGATCATAAGAAGTTTTATTTGAATTGTATTCAGTGTACTCATTATCAGACACATAATGTATACTATTAATGTGAATTTCACTGTTTCATCTTGATGGTGTTGACAACTTTCTTGTAATAACACTTTTGATGGAATGTATCAAATGCATAATGATCATTATTTACTGTGTGAATGATGATCCTAGCAACAATTATGTACGTGCGTGTATCGTGGACTTTGTATTTAATCTTTGTGTTTTTATGATAAACAAATAAAGGAATCTTACGAAAAATTCAAGGAGCTTAGTATTTAGTTCGTTTTGTTACTGTACAATATTTTTGTTATTATAATTATTATTAATATTGTTTTTAATGAAAATATTACTGAAAACAAATGCATTTCTCATGGTTACTTGTGCAAGATGTAACATTATTATCGTTAGATTTATTAAGTAGTAATGCGATGAACTACTGTTACAGTATGCAGGATTTTTACCTTCAGAAGAAACATTCGAAAAGCATGTAGATGATTTTATATATATATATATATAAGGAGATTTTTAGAGATTTTTAAGATGTTTTATCTTTCTGATAAACATGAAAATAATTATGAAAGATACAACCAAGAAGTGATTCAACTAACAGGTGAAGATTGCGTTGCCCACTAAGTGATTAGTCTGGACCGTAATGCTGTTGACATTTTTGACAACCATTCACTAGGAAATCAGCTACATGCAATTGACGAGTTCCTATCAGGATGAAACGTGAATCCTGAATTCAACTGCTAGACACCAGCAACCGAAATAAGTGTATGAAAATATTTTAAAAGCTTCCTTGTACTATTGAATGTAATGCATGGGATCAGTTGTAGTCTTTATTTCTGATATCTGTATTGATAACTATGTGATATAAGTGACGACGCATGCGTATTTAATGGAAATGACTTTATTGAATACTGAGTAAGGAATGTAAGTAGATGCTTCTAAGTCCAGATTCATAAATCTCCGCCAACAAAAACTTTTATATTCACAATGGAGACAGGAACTTAGATTAAAATTCACAGAACAGTTTTCTACTCAGTAGAATACAATAATAAAACAGTTATAAGTTCACGTTTTCAGTTCAAAGCCAATAATTTCTAATGCACCAATTTTTTTTTACTGTATTCAAGGCTGTAAGTAATTTTGATCCTCTTTTTACGCCTACATAGTTGGCATCAATTATTTTCTTTCTCGTTCACTTTTCAAACCTGCTAATGCTTGTTTACTGATACACTTCAGTTTTTCTGGATGTCCTCTTGCAAGTCGAAATAGAAACCGGCAATCAAAACGTCCTGTGTCACCACAAAGTAAGTGAAAATACGAACGGGTTTCATTATCTGTTCAAATTATCAAAAGAATTTATTCTTTTATTATATATATATATATATTGGGAATTTTGGACAGAGTGTATTATCCACTTCAGGAAAAATTTTCTACAGTATGAAAATAATCATGTTGTCCGACTTATTCAAAACTCAGATTGCTACATTTTAGAGAAAGAAGTTAACTGAATTTGGCTAGAAAGTTTTCCGGGCATGCATTTACATATATTTCAGAAATGAGCGCTATAACAGTATGCAGTATCACCTTTAGACCCCAGAAAGGGAGGGTAGAAATTCCAAACAACTGTCAAAAAGCGTCAATGAACTTACTGAGGATTTTAAGGAGAACTTACATGTTCGTGTCCGAAAATATCACAGTGACTGATGCAGTGGAGTTATTGGCAGAGGATTTTCTAGAATAGCTCGCAAATAACCAAAGCCTTCATAGATTTATTCATAATTGGGGTTCCAAGTGGGACAAAGGGGTTTAAGCCGCAGTTTCAGTAGTGACAGTATGTTTTCGCAGGTTTACTATTGACTAGCAGACTAGGCTGTGTAAGAGTGTATCGGCTGGGAATCGAACCCTGGACGAATTTTTGTTGACAAGCATTCTACTACTGAACTATATATATATATATATATATATATATAGTCTTAATAGTAAGTGTAATTAACAGTCTTATCGTTACCATTATATCAACTGAATTACACGGTCAACGTAACTATGTGAAATACTCCCATAATTAAAGAATAAAAAATTTTTGTGTTACTAAAATTGATTTCAAATTTATAGTATATATACAGTAACCTCAAGTTGGTTAGGACGCTCACCAACCATGCACATGGTCCGGAGTTTGATCCCCGGCCAACGCACTCCTTTACCTCACTAAGCCAGTAATAAAGCTGGTGAAGAGGAAAGGTTGGGTATGAGGCTAGCAACCCCATCCTGTAAAATAAACACTGCTACAGAAACTTCAAGCCACTAGCTTGAAGCCCTATGTTCCACTGGGAATGTGAAGGAAGGAATATATATATATATATATATATAAACCCCAAGTTGAAAGGGTCTTTGAACTATCAGATGAAACTGTAAAATGAAAAGTATGCCTCCTTTTTTCTACAGCAAGAGAGCGATAAAGTGATGACAAGTGAATCCATATTAATTCTGAATTATTTAATAATAATAATAATAATAATAATAATAATAATAATAATAACAGCTTTATTCCAAACAGTATTTGTGGTACAGGTATGGAATTTTCAGCGTGCATTACAGTATATTGCATCTAATTACCTCATAAATTATATAAGATTTTTAAAAATCAAAGATAAATAAATAAAAATAAAATAAATTAGTTATAAATAAATAAAATAAATAAATATTAAAATTTAAGAAAAAAAAACAACGTAGAGTATTTCATTTCAAACAATGCAACACAGGATTTGAAATATAAAGTTGATGTGTGGTAGAAGATGAGAACAACAGTGTAGTAGTAACGAGGAAAGGAAAACAAAAACTAATGGGACTATTTGTTAGAGTGCCGCAGTAAGTTTATCGTGTCATACCTAACGGATTTCTCATCACATAACAGCTGTGCCAGATATGGTATTGTGGAGTTTTTGTATTTGGTAGTCCTAGCATATAGCCTCCTGTAGCTGCTTCTAGTTCTTCCAGATGAAATGCAAGGAGATAGATGCGTATAGAGAGGATGCTTGGGGTCCGACAATATTGTATTCGCTAGTTTCTTACATGACATAATATGTCTATCTACAATAGTGTTCACCAGTTGGTTTAACGATAACCCACTTGCCCTACTAACAGCTTTTAGTGCCCTTCTCAGCGAAGCAAAGTCTTTCTTAAGTAGTCCAGGAAAGACTAATGGGGAGCAGTAAAGGAGGATGGGTAGAATACAAGAATTTACAAACTGAGAAAGTAAAGACTGGTTTATGCCAGACTGCCTAAATTTCCTAATGTAGAACGTTAAGCGAAACATCTTTCTAGTAACTAGCAAGATGTGGGAAGACCAGGAAAGATCGGTGGAAAAACTCAGCCCAAGGTACTTAACATAAGATGTATTTTCAACCTCTGTGTCGTCAATGAGAGTGGGGCCATGTGAGCTAACTAGTTGCTGTAGGTCACATTTACGTCTGAAAGTGAAATTGACTACCTGACATTTAGACGGATTAAGCTTAAGTCCGTTTGAAGAGGACCACTGACTAATTTCCGACAGAAAGCTATTTAATTTGGAACAATCTGACTGAGAGTTGACAGGCATAGAAACCGAGAGGTCATCGGCATATTTAACAAAAGTGGCTACATCAGAATGAGGCAAGTCATGTAAGAAAAACGAGAACAGAAAGGGAGAAAGAACAGCACCTTGAGGAACACCAGCTAAAGTAAGTGAGGTAGTGGAGGATTTTCCATTGTAGACGGTGTACTGCTTCCTTTCAGAAAAATAGGAATGCAACCACTTATTTGTCCAGCTTTCAGCCTGTGTTGCAGCAAGCTTACTTAGCAAGAGAGACCTGGGAACAGAGTCAAATGCAGATGTGTAATCAAATGATGGGGATTTACATGAAAGAAACTTCTGGTTATAGAGAGCATTCAATCTTTGTAATTCAAGCTTAATCAAAGTGTTCATTCTCTTAACACCAGATTTGTTTTTCATTTTGAAGAACCTTTCTTTTTCACGGCGGAGCTTTTTGAGTTGAGAAGGGGAGAAGCGATCGAGTTTTAAGAAGATTGTCTCTTTTGGACAACAAACATCAAGACAGAAATTAAGATAATGTGTTATGTTGGCAATTGTGTTATCAAGAGCTTGTTCAGTAAATAGATCCCAGTTTGTGTCTTTTAACATGGACCTTAGGTTCAGTATGTTGTCATGGGAATAACATCTGTGTTGTGTTTTCTCTCCAAGGTATGAGAAGACCCTTTTGTGCTGCTTTCCATATACTTTGGGCAATATTCTTATGATACAGTGATCTGAATTTAGTAGTGGGGCTCTTTTCCGAGCTTCAAATATTCCTGCATCGTTTGTAAAAACGAGGTCAAGAGTGTTGTCCATTCTGGTCGGGAAGTTGACAATATTATCGTGTCCCAGTGAAATTAGGAAGCTGTGGTCACTAGAATTAAAATCACCAGTAACTATAGACAAGGAATTTCCGAAGGAGGTGGCAGCAAGGGAAGTAAATTCATCCGCAAATAAAGATAGTTCTGTGGAGTTGCATCCAGGAGCAATATACATGTTCGAGATGTAAATGTAGTTGTATTTAGACAAATGTCTAGGTCGACACTTAACGGTGAGACAGTCAATATTATCACTAGAGAATTTGAAACATACATTATTAGACGTACACCATTGTGAATTGATGAAGATGGCAACACCGCCACCGCGTTTCTTCCTGGAACTACACCGATCTTGTCTGAATAGTTTGAAATTATTTAGATACACTAGATTGTCATCATATAGATCATGAAGCCATGTTTCTTGAAGTGATATGATCCCAGTATTATGATATATAATGGAAGACACCAGCGATTGAAGACAGTTAATTTTAGCCGGCAGGGAGCGACAATTGGTACTCATAATTGCGGGAACAGTCATGAATTGAATAGGGGTATTTTTTAATGCTCTCTGCCAGCCGGCATGATGCTTTTTCTTGTCATTTTTATGGAGTTGCAGATCAGTAGGTTTTAGAGATATTAGATATTCACGAGAATAAATAATCCGATTTGAGGTCATATTTGAATAAGATTTATTGATTAAAATATCAATTAGAAATGAGAAATTAGATGCAGTATGATTTGTAATGTTTAAGGTTACTGGTAGCCCAAGATTTAAGCAGGCCGCCAAGGTCTGGGTGTTTTGAGTCGTATTATTGACTGTGTTATTTTTAACTTCATCGACTTATAGTGCCAACCTATGCACTGAAGTGTATTTAACTTCTGATAGTGTAATATCTGATTTCTAACAAATACTATACATTGTAGCTCATAACTTTAATCTGTTATCTCTCAGCAATATATTATTAACTATGTAATTTGTATTTTGATACAGAGATTGAATCACGCCATAAATCTTCAAGTAATTTGATATCTGGAAACGAAATCGATATGTCTTATCCCAAGAAGTACTGCCCACTAACAGGTCTAAGTAGTAAACTAAGCTTAGATAATCCGTCTGTTCCAACGATTGTATCTCCTTTATTACAGTCGCCTGCGTTGTTCAATGGGTCCCAACAGTTCAACGGGAAACTTATGTCAAACTTCGATGTGAACTTTCCACTGCACAATTTGAATCGTACTGTTGCAACAGACTCAAATAATTTAACAAGTGAATGTAATGACACAATTTCGAAATCTATTTATGATATATTACCCAATTTTATTAATACAACACATTTTTCAAATTTGATAAATTGTCCAACACAATCCAACAGCACCAATATTAATATTGATAAAGGTGGCAGTTTGCTTAATAACTCACAAATTCTGTGTTCCATGTTTAACTCGTCAGGGCTAAACAGGAGTCTAGATGAGAAAAGCAGCGATTTCAACACTAAGCAATCTTTTATATTTTCAAATTCTATGCAGCTTAAAGATATGAGTTTCACAGGGTGTTTAGACGATCCAGTTTTTAATTTCACTATGACACAACGTAGCGTTCTTCAAAATGCTAACCCGAATCAAACCCAAAATCGAATACTATCAAAACCAGCAGAAACCTCCTGTAGTGTCAGTGGTAGTAGCAGTATTAGCAACAGCAGTGGCAGTAGCAATAGTGACACAATGTTTCCTAAGTCAATCATAACAGCACAAATTAATTGCGTATCAGAAAATTCTCCAATAGATAAACAGAACTTATTTATCAATCAGTATTTACCCTCACAAGTCATCCATTTATGCTCTGATTTAACTAAAAATTATTCAACGCCAAACATGCTGCATACCGAAACTAAATTTGAATGTCCGATTGACTTATCTTTACATTCCAGAAATCAGATGGATGAAACATGTAAAAGGTAATTATTTTTAGATGTAATTTTATTGCACCTATTATTCGTAATTACTTGTTTCATATATGATCTTAATCACATACTAATCAGTGAAACAAAGGACAGCAATAAATTGCTATGAATCATTCTTAAGCGCTAAACCGGAGTGAGAACAGTTAAATTTTGAGAGTTAAGTGCATATATGACCGACTTATTAACCTTTGAAATTATAAATTAAAGTTTAGTGCTAAGGCCTTTGAATTTTCATACCGTAACAGTAGGTGACCAGAGATTCGGTATCTCCATACAGCCAAATTATGTACACCTCATCTTTAAATCACCATTTGCACAAATCTTCCTTGTTATGCTACGTCTGGCCTTCACATTGTGTTTCTTTGTGTGCCTTTCACTTCTCTCATGTATCTCCGCAACTCTGTATCATTCGCTTTCTCCGGTATCAAAACTATCTTCCTGCTATTTGATGTTTCTCTGCCGATGAACGTCCCCTTATGCACTATTGGTAAATCTTATCAGTAGAACAAGCCACACTACTGCTTTAGTAGCAGTATCTTAGGCACCTTCTTTTTTACTGTCAGTCTTGTTGTCCTCTAACCTTTGGTAATTCCCACCTGGTGTTGGGGTCATTCTGATCATCATCTTCAGAACAATTTGATACTGTGCACTGATTTTTCTTCCTGATGTAGGGACTGATCTGAATTCGTTAGCTATATTACATGTGTCTACTAAGTATTATATCCAGTTTCATCAAGAATGTTCAAACAGTCAAGAACAGCTATGCCAGCACATGTAAGTTTTTTTTACACGGACTCTAATATAAGTGGACAACTTGCATACAGAAACGGGTGATTAAATACTTATCAACTTTTCTTTGTAAGTTACATAAAAGTACACGTGAATCGGGATGTGACCTGTTCAGTACTTTATGTGCAAACTAATTATCAATTTTGAACGTAGATCTAGTCAGTTAGAAAATCATTGAAAAGTAGAGGACACTAGATATATGAGTTCTTCTAAACTTGGACTCATAAGAAGTTCTTTCCGGGACCTCAGCAAAGGTCGAAAGTTGCCTTTGATCCCTGGTGGTTTCTGAAAAGTCCCAAAACAGGACGACTTACTTGTCTTGATGGTTTTCAGTGATTCTTTAAATGATATTGGTTTATGATGAAACCTTCAACTAAATTAGTCAGTCTGCTACAAACCGTATATTTGCACTTCAAGGAAATTGCTTGTTTTCAACCTCTAATTTTAAGACAGAGTGGTTTCAAGTTCACCTATGAAAAAATATAAAGCGTGTTTAATTTATATCTGGAGGTAAGTAATGCTTATTCGATTTTACAATTACAAATCTATTGTGCAAACTTGAATTCTCTGACAATCTATGATACATAATAATTGTATGTATTAAATTTTCATTCTTTAGATGCGTGTGCTATTTGTACAGTATCGTTAGGGTTATTTCTCCCACTTCTCAAACAGAAAAAACACGACAGAAAATTTAGTGTAACTAATACAGGGATTTACTTCTATAATATCATAATTAATTCTGTCAATCTGATCGTTTTGTAGCAGTTCTTCATATATGAAATGAGCCATTTTGCTTGAAAGTTCAGAAATATGATGTCCCTATGGTCATATTAGGTAATCAGTAACCGTTCTTTTATAAACGGTTAAACAACGGTATTATTTAAAGGAAAACTTTCACTTCGTTACTATTTTAATCTGCATATTTTACATACAAGGATTTACCCTACATTTTGGTCAGAAATCATTCTCCTAATAAGTGGGATTTTGGGGTGAAGATGAAGGCTATCGTGAGGTTTTCACAGACAGTATAGGAAGCATCACAGGAGATGCTCTATTTGCGCAAAAAGTTGATAGGGCACCTATAAAACAGCCAAACGAAACGTCTGACAGGAATGCAGCATTGCTCAAGGCCCGTAATATAAAATTGACTACCTGGGGGGATTCAAGTCGTAAGTGCGTCGGTAGCACAGTGGTTAGGACTCTAGCCGACCATGCACATGGTCCGAGGTTCGATCCCCTGCCGACGCACACCTGATATCTATGGTCGGCCTACAAAATTTGGGCTACCGATATCCATTCTGAAAATTCCATACTTGTACCAAGAATACGGTGTGGAATCAAGCTGTTATCCAAAATTTAAAAAAAGTGACAGCCTCCATTCTGTCTATTCAAGTAAACCAAAGTGAAGGCACGGTAATTTTGATTTGCCATAGCGTATATCCTCACCCCTCACACAGTGTTAGACGAGAATTTATCCAATTATTCTGTCTCTAATTTTAGTTCCTTCAATTTAGACAAAGTACCAACAGTAAATATAACAAATCGGTCATTTGAAATTGGCAGTCTTTGTCCTGAACTTCATGACTCCAAACGACAGCATTCAGAGGATTTATCTGTAAGTACAACACTAATGAATAATGATGGTGTTAATATTGATTCTCTTCATTCATCTAAAACATATGACCACATTAATTTAATCAATTCAAAGTATCCAATGAATGTTCAACCATCACGAAATTCTAACCTCAGTCTTAACGAGAACATGATAGGAACCAGCATGATTTCGAGCATAAAACAACTTCGAGAAGATGAAAACTTTTTGGCAAGTATGGGTTGCTTAAACTTACTGCAGAGTAAATCGAATTTCGAAACAGCCAATATTCTCTTTGCATTCAACTAGATATTTTACCACAAGAGATAGTGAATGAAACAAGCACTTGAAATGAATAAAATGAAGTGGAGGTAAGAAGGTTATAAAATTAATTTCATTTATTTTCACATCTTTTGTCATTCACAATTACTTTAACTTTGATATTATATGAAAGAATCACTATCATGTCTAACTGGTATAAAACAAACTGTACGCATACTGAGTCAACTGGAGGGTATGTTAACTCATTTAGGAATAACTATAGAACATTATATTACTAATTACCATTTGTCTGTCTGCGACATATATGTCTACACTAATAAATAAATGAAAATATCAGGAAACTCATCTAAATAAAGAATTGCTGCTGATATCACCCGTGTTGTTTTTTAAAGCAATCTTTTCCTGCCAATAAATTACTCTAACCTTAGAGTAACTGTGTTGCACAGAAACGGTAATTATTTGTGACACTTATTTCACGGACGATCACCTTACTTGAGAATCCCATTCTTAATTTCATTTCTAAGAAATTCAGGTCACTTATAGAGTGCAATTAACTTTACCTGAGGTTTAAGACTCAAGAGATTCATCAGTGGTACTCAACCAACGGGGTTCGAAACCAGGACCTTTTGGTTACAAGGCCAACTCGTAGACCATTCAGCCAATGGGACCCGATCTAATGAGCCATGAATTCAAACTTCTGCCAACTCATATATATATATATATATATATATATATATATATATATATATATATATATATATATATATATATATAATGAGACAGCCAGCCAGTGTCACAGGCGAGCAACTGTTCCCATATCAGACTTTGTGGACCCGTCTGGTTTCGACTTCTCATTAGAACTCCAGGTAATTTCTTGTATAGAACCAGTCGCTAGTCACCATCAGGTTAATTATCAAGTACTAGTTTCCAAGGGTTTGACTAATTCTCTAATTGATTTCAACTGGTAATCGAACCTGTAACCAATCAAATCCCCACAAACCAACACTTGAAAAAGTGTTTTATTTTACTGAATTTCTGATGAGGCGAAATCAGTCATAGTGCCACTTGAAGTTGTGGCGGTGTTCCACTTCAAATGCATGGATTACAACTTTGCTTAAAAATTCATCAGAATCTTTTCAATTTCATTTTCAGCTTATCCTATCAATAATGCATTTATCAAAACTCCCCAGGGCTAAACATCGGTGTTCACTGGTGAATAAATCAATTTCTGATTTGTTGTACCTGCATTAACATTGGACTTTCATAATTATTTTATTCATTTTCCTCATTTGACTTATAAGATTATTCAGTAGTAGACTGTTTATAAATAAAAATATTTCAAAGTGACATCTGTATTGAGTTTAAACAAATTTTGAACTTTTTTGTTATAATATTGTACAGCCACTTTTGTTGTTTATCTTATTCAAATTAATTTAGTTAATACAAATGGATTTCGCAGATGTGAGAGTAAACTTTTGTTTTAAGTATAAAAGTTGGGCACTGTGGTAGAGCATAACTCCATTATAAATAAGATTTTATTTTGATAAATCACAGTGTTGTTATACAGTAATATTAACTGTTGATATTACTGTATAAACTTTTGTTTGTTTAGTAGGGAGAAGAACTGAAGTGATTTTAAGGTGAGTACTAACTACAGTGAGCTAGGCCCTTATAAGGAATTTATTTAAAAATAGGTTAAAGAGTAAATCATATCTTGGATGAAGCATTCGTTGATATCATTGTATCTTGAAAAATCTGGGATGTATGATAAATAGTAGTGTGAAAAGTCTTTCACAATCGAGGATGCTTACAACTAATTAGTCAAATGAGATAAATAGTTATTTGAAGAAAGCGGATAGGAAACAAGAGCGCGGAAATTGAAAGTGCGCCACAGAAAAACTACATCGGGTTTATTGCGCAACGCACCAGAAGAAATTAATACTAGGATCATACTTGTATGGGAAGCTGGATGAAACGTTTCTGAACGCGAAATGCAGACTTTCCCTCAGCTACATGAAGATCATTCTGGTCTTCTTGATTTTACTTTATATATTACTCTGTATGATGTCTCTGACGATGATGAATCAGAAAAAAAGTAATGATATGCTCTAGAATTGAGCTGTTGACTGTTCTACGTTCTGCTTTTGGACAAGCATGTTGATGGGTGTTCATGAATGTGTCAAGATAATGTGCTGCAAGCACAGCTTCTGGAATTAATTAGGAAACTTGATAAATCCATACTGAATTTTCCAGCTGCGGCATCTTATCTTTGAAGTCATTTTTCAAAGCCTAATATTTCCACATTAACTGCGTATGGCACCAAAGGCGATACCAGTATAAATCAGACTGTTTCAACCATGTGATTAACAAGCATAATATTATGACTATTTTTTATTCACGTCAGTTAAATATTGTTTTGATATATAAAAATGTTAAAAATAAGTGGAAACAATTGTAATCTGACTGGTATGAAAAACTCCGATGTTTCCACTAGCTTAGTTGGAAAAGATGTAATATTTCAACCTCAGCCACAGGGTTTATGCACTGGACTGCTATAAACGGGGTTGGTAAAAGCTGGAAAGAAAGATTATTGAATTGGAATCTAGCAAATGAATGATACTCGAAACCTGAAGATTCAGGGTTAGACTAAACATGAAATCATGGATACATCGTGTCAGGTGTCCTGAAATCAGAATGAAAAATCTTAACAATTTTTCTGTAATTTTATTAATTTTATGTCTGATTTTATTTAGAGATGAACACTAAGTTGCAAATTTTAACAATATCGAAATGTTTAAGTGATTGTATCCAGTTTAAAAGAAATGAGTATAAACAACAGAAATGTATACTATGATTATATTACCAAAAAATTTAGACATTTATCATTCATTTCATATATTTATTCCCCTTAATGAATTTGAACAAAGCAAGAACTACAGTTTTCGCCTTCTCGTCAGCTGCTTACAGGCCAAAGAGATGATTAAATATGTCTACAAAAACAATTTTAACATCAATCGATCAATATATGCATACAGGAATTATATATATATATATATATATATATATATATATATATATATATATATATATATATATATATATATATATATAATTCCTGTATGCATATATTGATCGATTGATTTTTGTTTAAAATGAACTCTGCAAGTATGTTAAAATTGTTTTTGTAGATATATTTAATAATGTCTTTGGCCTGTTGGCAGCTGATGAGAAGGCAATGAAATAAAAGATGGTAACACTTTATTCTGCAAAAACTGTAGTTCTTGCTTTATCATTCATTTGTTGGTTAATTTATTAACCTAGATAACTTAAACAGGAGACAAAGAACTTATTTAAATAGCTAAATTATTTAGGTGGTCAGTTGATTTCATTTATGTCCAAATTAATGTAACAGGAGAACTTCAACTACTTGGCTCACTGGCAATTTGCTCATCTTTGACGCTAATCTTACTATTTGCAGTTATTTCAAGGATAGACACATCCAACCTGGTTTCAATACATTTTCTTGATTTTTAAACAGGCAATCTCACTGAAAGAGAAGTTTTACAAACTGAGAGATTCGATGAACGCAATCAACTTTGACACAGTAATTATTTTGGAGTGGTGAAAGAGTTCAGTCACAGAGGTGAAAGTGGAAGATTCAGGTCAGCCAGAAATGCAGAACACGAATCTTTACTGAAATATTCAATAATGAATCCTGATAAGATGAGTGGCTAGGAAAAATTCCCAGTCACAGAAATACATCTCATTATTATAGTTACTATATAGTGTGACAATACTAAAGCCCATAGTAATCAGAAGAATAAAGTAAATGCAGCTGGATTTTCGTTCTACACCACATACATTCATTAATAATCACAGGCATTTGAGAGGTTCCAATGTGAATCAAAATAAACTAATAAGAACGTATGTAATCATAAGACCGATACCGAAGTTTGCAAGAATACCTTGATGTGACCGTCATCAGTAAGTTGTTCTCACAGCATCGATCACTACAAAAATACAGTGTCAATATAGCACATGTCACATAAATAAATTTGCATGGAATTGGACAAATTTTTAATGCCATATTAGTTTGTTTATTAGATGCATCACACAGTGAAAGTATATTATTTACTGGATAACATTTCGAACAAAATTTATTGTTCATAATCATATCAATTGACGTAACGTCATCCAGTAAATAATACTGCTTCACTGTGTGATTCATCTAATCAACACACTAATATATAATTACTTACTACCACAGTGCCCAAGTTTTACACATATATTAAATTTTCAATAGTTGGGATAAAAATACAGCGGTTGGGACGCTCGCCGACCATGCACATGGTCCGAGGTTCGATCCTCGGCCGGCTCACTCCTTTACCTCACTAAGCCAGTAATAAAACCTGGTAAAGAGGAAAGGTTGGGCATGAGGCTAGCAACCCCATCCTGTAAAAGTAAACACTGCTACAGAAACTTCAAGCCACTAGCTTGAAGCCCTATGTTCCACTGGGAACGTGAAGGAAAAATTATTATTATTATTATAAAAATACAGACTGTAAATGAATTCATTTAGAGTTCAAAACGATTCTTTAAAACATTCTATAAACACAACATAACCTTTCTGAGTTCATTCTCTGGTATGACTGTATTTACGTACTCCTGAAGAGTCCAAAACTAGGACGAATCAGCCATCTAATATTCTCTGTTTCTAATGATTTTCTGATATAGATGGGTAATGAAATCCAAGAAAATCTCAGTCAGATGGAGTAAATTCAAATATCTGTTTCCTGTGGTATTCATATGAATCAATAATTTTACAGATTATATGTCACACCTTAGTTGACAAATATAACAATGAATTCCTGGATTCCGGATGATTTCGGATGTGGTAATGTGACCGGGTTTCAATAATTAATGCAAAATAGTGTTCCTACTTATAAGTAGGCACGTGCTTTATGCAAAATATTTCCTATGGCCAAGGCATATTGTTATGAAATTAGTACGAACACCTATAAGGTAATTTGAATTTATCACAGAGTTGAAATTCACGAGCATGTAAAATATCAAGAAATAAAAACAAATAGAGGATTCTGTTTGTAAACAATTACACCGTTCATCTGGATCAAAAGTATTCTTTAACAGACGCATCTTTCTCAATTCAGTTTTGATTTTCCCTTTGATTGACTGGACCGAAATGTTCTGTATTTGTTGACATGTTGGCTCCTATTACGGACGCTTCCACGATATCTGACGGTTACTTCAAAATGGCTTGGTGGATGGTAATTAGCACTGGAATCCAGGATGTGCATTTCGTTCTGGGACTGACTCATCATCTGGATGTAGCTGCATTCTCCAGTGATTGATGGTGTTCCTACTGGAGCTCGTACCCAGTACCCATCGTTTCAAACGCCAAAATGTATTCCGCTAGACCATTCGGCCAGTAATTGCATTCCAAATAGGGTGATGTGTGCATTCCGGATTCAACTGCTAGTCTACATCCACAAAATTACTTCAAGACATATATCTTCCCTAATTCCACTTATTGGGCGAAATTTTACTCAAATTAAATCCTCATCAAGCGTATTATGTATTGTTTTCAATAGTCTGCTTTTTACACAGTAGTATTTTGGTGGCCCTAAGAATTTCTCTGCGTTTATTCTAATTACTCCACATATTAACAATCCTTCTTTTTCTGTTCTTTCTGGAATTTTCAGTCAAATTGATGTAATCATCTTCAGAGTTACTGTGTACTATGACGATCCAGGAGCTTGTTTTCAGTAGTGAATAACTTCATTTTCACATGCCTATCTTTCAACATTTTCTTCATTTCCAGCTAATGTTCAGTCTTGATTATAAGTTGTTTTCAAGCAACCCCACTGTTGATGCTGCATATGTGTTTCGACTATTCGTAGGTTAGAAATGTTTCTGAAGTTGACTCATGCTTAGCTTTTTTATCATTTAGGACATAAGTCATTTCTTCTGTGTGACCATAATAATTAAAGTAATTACGAAGGTGCAGTTGTCCTATCATCCCACAGATATTCAGAGTTCACTGTACATTCACAAAAGTTACTTTTTTCTTGGTTTCAGAGACTTTTGGCTTTATACCAGTTCTAAGGCGAACTTGTTATAAGATATGTTTACTTTCGCTCTATCTTCCCTTTCAGATGTTAATTTAATACATAATGACTACAAAGTAATTTGTAACCTACTTGACTCTGTAGATAAAAAATTATTCTTTGTTTCACGAAAATGAGTAATCATTTGAAATCAAAGGGTAGTGGAAATTTACTTCATCATTTGGTGGAATTTCTCACATCTGTAGACAATATGTAAATGAATTCCACGGTGATAACCATTAATATATTTATTAATACAACCCTCAACACTTTGAAAGGTTAATATTACTGGCATCAAAGGGAGAAAGATAGTGAAAAATATATCAACAAAT